CACGTAGCTGTGGCCCTGCAGAGCGTGCTGGGGTTGCCATAAAAATAAAGAGCTGAGCGTTCATTGAGGTGGTCCCGAGGCATGTATGGGAAAGAATACAATAAAACATCACATAATGTTGAAGCCAAGCTAAGGAAGTATCTACAGGACAAAACATGTCTAGGTTAAAACTGGGCTGAATTAAATTAAAAATTAGTTGGGGTTTTGGTTGTCTAGGTTACATGTAATTGTGTGAACAACATTTAAATTACCATGTTTAATCATTAAGAAAAGTACAAGTTTATTTATTTAAAACCATGCTTAGGGGGAGGGGCTTCTGGAAAAATATTAATTCGGCCTAAAAAAAGGGGGAAAGCAGATTGTTTGGGGGATGAAAAGAGCAACAAGGCTGCTTGAAGTAAGAACAAGCTCCTAAGAAATAAATTCTATCCCGCCACAGACCTCAAAATAGATGCTTCAATGGCACAATGAGAGATTAAACCACTCATGAATGTTATTGCAGCCATTTATCCAAACAAGACAAAAGTGAGCGGATATTTTACATGTCTGAATTTTGGTGAAAGTCTTAGAAAGGAGGTAGAAAATGAAAATTGTAAAAAAAATAAAAAAATAAAATCACATTTTGTGCAAGCACTGAGTGAAGTCATAAGAGAGGTCTGTAACACCAGGCATGAAGTGAGTTGTATGACTGCCAACGCTCTGCTCTGCTCATCTCCACTCCATCCATCCCGCCTGGCTAATGTATCCCTCTCAATAGCTGGGGACAAGGGGAGAAAAGACTGCTTGTGTGAAGCACAAAAAGCCCCACCGTGGCCACGTTCGCAACAGTAATTGGCAAGGAAGCTTCATTCCATTCAGTCCTGTATGTCTTTTGTTGTCCTGTGGGTTTTAACAAGTGTGCTGCTTTTGAGATTTTTTCAAAACTGGCTAATTTCTGCAGCCCTCTGCCTGTTGTCACCCATGTGCCCACTAATAATTTTTTTGTGAATACACACTGAAGTGTATTAATAACTAAACATTTAATAGAGTCTTAATGATACTTTTGAGTACCCTACTTAATTTTGAACATCTGCAAGAGGTGGAAAAACATTTAATCCCTTATGAAGCCTTCTGCTTTCACACTCTGAAAGCTTTGTTGCTGTTCAGTAAAGTAGCGATCACAGAATAGAGGTTGGTGGGCATTAGAGGGACAGCCTGTCTCCTTTCATCATCACATTGTAGTAGCTGTATAAAAGCCTGCAAAATGTACCTTGTAGTTATGTTTTCACCACAATTACACTTTTCCTGTTGTAAAATGCATTAAAAGATTTTTCACTATATTACATTGGTGCATTTTTGTTCTCATAAGCTCTCTTAACCTTCTGATACATCAGCTTTATGTGGATACTGCTGATAAGAAGGGTCTTTTCAGGTGTAATCCAGTTACTGTATGTATATTATCATGGGTCCTGTATTTATGTAAGTTTTTACATGTTCACAGCAGTTTATGCAGCTCTAACTATGTTTTATTGTCAGTGATCCAAACCTGTTTTGCTTGTGACCTCTTAATATAAAGCCGTGTCTGCCTGTGACACCACTGTCATAGATTGCCTATATATGAGTTGTGAACATCAAATAATTATAAAAAAAAAAACATTTAGAGGCCTAAATGGGTATTTCAAGAAAAAGTGAAAAAAAAATGTATGTCTCAAAGTTAAGGAGAATGTCAACAGTTCTTATTGGGACTATTTCTTTAGTGTAAAGTAGTTTGATTGAAAACTGTTGACAGCAGGGTATTTGGATTATCCAGATAACCAGTTACATTGTTTCTGGAAAGATACTAGCTGTTGAGTTTTTAGCCACGCTAGCATCATGGCTATGGACAGCAATGCCGGTCAGTCCACCACTATGATCCTGACTTAAATATCTTAATAACTATTGGATGGAGTGCCATGAAATATGGTACAGATATTCTTGGTACGCAGAAGATGTATGCTCTTGCCTTTGGTGATCCCCTGACTTTTTTTTTTGGAATACCATAAGATTGATATTTAGTCTTAGCTGTACATTGTTTTGGCGCTAATTAGCAGACGTTATCATGCTAATGTGCTAAACCATAATACAGCAGGGCCACGAGCATAGCTACAGACTTTTACTCTTGTTAAAATGCACTGTATTTTATCAATGCTGTGAAATAATTCTGTTGACCTCCATTGTATTGGGGTGTGATGAAGACAGAAAACCCAGAGGTGGATATCTCAAAAACCAAGATAAAATATTATTACTTTAAATATGTAATCTGGTACAATTACAAATTACTTGTTAAAGAATGTAATCAGTAAAGTAATCCAAGTACCACAAAATAAAAGTTATGTAATCTGATTACTTTTAGTTACTTTCAATGCCAAATAGGAAAATTAAGACAAGAGAGTGAGAGTCAACGATGTGTTTTCTGCTCACTGTATTTTTAGAGAAACATGTACAAAATTTTCCATTCCCATGAAATCAAAATCCATGTTTAAATGTTTTTATGATAGTAGTGTCACCACTGTATCCGGACCATCCATGACGAAAAAATTAGTTTTTTAGGTATTCTTGATGATATTTAACAGTTTGTCATTTGGAAAAGCATTTTAAAATATTGATGACTCATTCTGCACTTGTATTAATTTAGTGTCCAATGAACAGATTTCTCAATGTGACGCTGCTGAAGCATAGTGTTTCTGGGGCCGGGCCCTACCGAAGAACAAAACTTTTTTTCTCTGATTTTGGTGAAAGTGGGTATTGGATGGAGAAATATTAGAAATATGGATATTTCTAAAATACTTTTCTGGTTTTCTCTCTGATGTCCCCTAGGTGCTCTGCCTCAACTCTGTGATTCACGGAGTTTCCTGGTGGACAGATAACTTTACTTGTTGCTTAAGTTAGTTAAAAGCTACCTAAGCTGCTGTTATTAGCTCAGTTAGCTGTGCAATCACTGGTCAAATTAGCTCACTCTGCTCGTACTGGGAGATCTGAGCACAGAGGGAGTATTAGTGTTTACCATAGACTGTATAAAGGTGTTTACACACTTACTGAAGCACTGAAGGTTTTCAGGACAAGGGTGGGGGACCCAGCCAGGAATGATGGCAGGGTGCTGAGCCTGATTGGGAACTGGAGCAGGGGGAGCGGCCTACGAAACCTCGCTCAGCAGCCTCAGAGACCAACAGGGAATCCAGTATTGAGATGATTTACACAGACCTTCCTGATGGATAGCTTTACTTTTTAACTGTAGCCTATCTGCCTGTATCTGTGGCTAGTTAGCTCGGTTAGCCGTGCTGTTAGTGGTTCTATTACCTTACTCAGCCCCAGGGTGCCAAGAGCCAAACCGGGCAAGAATACCACCTCGGGACTGTATTCCCAGTGGTCAAACTGGCCTCTGTCGGTCTCGGAGGCTGTGCTCGGTCCCGGTCCGGCTGCCGTGTTCACTCATTGAGAGCTGGAACCAGGCCGCACAAAGTCTGCATGACAGGGTAGGGGCATAAACGCTCATTCATTCTCTAGCGTTGTGTTTTTACAGAAACATACACACTATAGACTGTATATAAAAACATACAGAGGAGAATAGCACTGCGTCTTTTGTTTCATGGAAACTTTCTGGTTAATGTAATCCCTTATGAGTAATCCTCAATTCTACAAAATATAGGAAAATACGTTTGTAAAACAGAGATTTGAAGCTGCGTGGTTATGGGTAGATAAGAGATGAAAAGTGATGTCCAGAATTGTAACCTGCTGAATATTATTGCACTGACAGTCTCAGTGCATTTTGGTGTTCACATTGTGTTTATGTAGGGGCGCAATCAGAGCCAAGAGTAATTTCTAACAGTTTCCCCACTTACAGTAAACACAGCTTTTCCCATGGGGTTAGACTCTCAGTGCAGCACAATATCATCTCTAGGGCCCTTTACAGATGAAACAGGCTTGCATCTCAGAAAATATTACGGTTAAAAAGAGCATATTGACCTCCACTGGATCAATCTGTGAGCTAGTCAAGCTGAAGCAGCAAAATCACAGAAACTGAAGGTTTACATATTATGGTCACACCTTGAGTTTGTTCAGTGCTGAAATTCGGCAGTCAGACTGCATCTGCGTGCAAGCAGGTGACAGGAAAAACAGTTGTGTCCTCGAGTACTGATCTGTATGAATACAGCACTGTGGTGCAGGAACTAAATGGCTGTGGATGAGAGAGTGACTCATAACTTCACATCATTCGAGAGGAATATGTCCTTTATGTCCAGGCTGCTCTACAGTTCCATGTCTTGAACAAAGGAAAGAACAAACCAGTCATCTAACCTGACAACCCTGGGGACCATGCAGAACGGCCAGAGGTCAAAGTTGGACACATGGACTTACTGCCGGATCAAAACTTAGTTCTTCACTTCCTGGATGTAGTGTACCGGCATATTAAGACCTACAGGTCTGGATAACCCATCTGTAAGTTTCATGACTTACAACTACAAAGGAAAACAACTACATATTTACAGCTGATTCTGTTGTGCTATAGATTCACCTAAACTCAATATCCAGGAGGATTTCCATTTCCACACAGAACCCTCATTGATTCCGTTTACAGAGGAATTGCAGCCTGGATCAGTTTACCTTGTTACCTTGTCACACTATGTTCTGGTCTGATCTCCATGTCCATTTCCGCTCAGCTTCCCCTCCCCTCTCGCCACCACACAGCCCAACAGAGCTTGCATTGTCCCTGTGGCCAGTCATCCATTCCTAATATCCAGTCTTTTACCGTACTGGAGACGTGCTGGATGCTTTCAAAGGGCAGAGCGAGCTGTTGATGGATGCCCTCCATCTCCCACACCAAGGTTTAAAAAAAAAACAAAAAAAACCTTGTGGCCCAGTAGTGACAAATGACTTTGAATATCATAGATCATTTGCACAATGCAGATCTGGAGGATGCAATCAAGTGAAGGAAACTCGGGAGAGACCACCTTATTTGAAAACTGTGTAAATCATTATGAGAGGTATTCAATCATCAAATCTTTTTATTATGAGATCAGACAGTACAAATACATGTAAACATAAAAACACTTAATGATACCATGACTAGAAAACACACACCAATCAATAAAACAACCATGCTTAAATCAATCAACTGAAGAGTATGGTTAACAACCATTATTCTCAAGTTGGCTTGATGCTGAAAGTGCTTGCATTTTTTTTTTTATTAAGAAAACATACATATTTGGGTATAATTAAACTACAGTAAAACTTGTACCAGAAGTCCATCTCATCCATCTCATCTGATATTGTCAATACTGTTTGTCAAGTGTTGTAGAGAAAACAAATCCTGAGGACACTCTTTAGTACTTAAGTTTAAATATGCAAAGACAATAAATTCATAAAAACACATTCAAGCAATGTTGACCAAGAAATGAAAACAAGCAGAGTCTAAAAAATGCAAACAACACAGTGCTGTTTGTAGATCTACCAATGATCTTTGAAAAAAGTGAGGAGCTTGAGTATAGTGTAATGATGTTTCAGGTAGATAGATGCCATGCTATGAGATACTATCAACACAGAGAGCTCCTTCTATTGCATTAGCTAAAGGCACTGATATCTTGATGGAAATAACTTCATTTTGGCCACTACCAGGCACAGTAAATAAAATTGCTAGCTGTTAGCGCAGCTGAGTAAGCCTGGTAACTGATGGAAAGTGACTCAGACGCAGTTATGAATGGGGCTGGCGGCTGCGCCTGTGCACTCTTGAATATGTTATCATCTCCTCTGTGCGGTGGAGCATATTAATAAAGCACCTTACAGTTACACCGTCTAAACAGACCGTAAATCACTACCCATTAAACCCGTAGAGGCAGTAACATGCTTGGCCCTTGCATACTAGAGGCCAGCAGTTTTTAACCGCTACAATTAACACATTAAACACTTCAATACTGATGTGACAGAATCAGCTAACATAATGATTAATTAATGACTAGTGTAAAGTGTGGGCCAGCCCTAGAAATTCAAAACAAGAGAAAGTTAATCAGGCTAATTGTCTGAAACAGTCTTCATTAACATAATATTGCCACTGAGGAAGGAAATTGGCAACTGGGGCGGTTTCTGTTCTTTCTTTTTAAATTTTTTTTCTAAATGCTCATTTAAAGTAGCATAGTAAGTAACAATGTGATTAGGATTGAGCTAAATCAATCTTTTTTTTTGCATACTTGTGATGGCTATCCTCTTTATTGACTGATACAGTCACATGCTCAGTGTGATGCTATGAATGGCATTTGCTGGAATTTTGGCATCTGCTTCCTCCCCACTGATCCTGAAGATAACAAAGGTGTTGGAGGGGATGGTGGTGGTGGCGTTCAGGGATTTACCCAGCCAGCCCTGAGATCCACGCTTGTACATTTTAACTGTTACCTGCAGAGTGGGAGAGAGAGAAGTAAACGGATAATTAAGGTCATAAAGTGAGAGTGTCTTCAAGTGGCTAAAAACAATGTGCTTTTCTTGGATATTCAGGGCTTTTGCTGGTATCATGACCCTGACTGAGACCTTCCGACCTCTGGATAGCGCTAAGACAGACACTCATGACTTGACCTCTGTGTGTACAAGCTGCTGCTTAGGATGTGGGTTTGTAGACTGAAGAACCAAATAAACCTATTGATTCTATCTTGTTGGAAGATGGACTGGGTTTAATAATGAGTTAAAAAACATTTGTGTCAAACTTGAGGTCCATTTTGACCCTGAAAGTATATATTTAATGAGGGCTAAATTTGGCTGAAAAGTAACCGTTTTAAAACACTTTTTCTAAATTTCTAAAATCCCAAAATTGCTTGTTTTGTCTGACCAACAACCCTAAGATATTCAACTGGCATTTTTTGCAAGAAAAATTACTCAAATGATGAGCAAAACAGCTACTGATTAATTTTCTGTTGCAAACTAACAGTTTAATCAACACATTCTTTAGCTAGACCATGCTTTTGGGGGTCCATTACAGTTGCAACATTGTAAAACATTTTTTCTTCTTTATTGGAAGATAATTGCAAAAAGATCCTCCTTAGGAACCAGTTAGTCATCCACTGAAATAACCTTAAAAAAAACCAACCAAACAAAAAAAAAAGGTAAAATTTTTGTTAATGCCGCTAATATATTGTGCAACTCTTTTATGATCCAACCGGCCGTCTGTAACCGAATAAATATTAAATTAACCTTGTTTTCACAGTGAGCTTTTTTAATTCCCCTCCACATCTTGAATAGAGTCATACCTCTCTTGATTTTATGTAGGTTGTAGGGCATAATACGCTTTAACACTACATCAAAACTGCCTGTTATGTTTGAGCCTGACAATGGAAGCCTTAACTAGATTTAGACATGCAGGTAATTGAACCACATCCATTTCAAAAAGAATGCCTGGCTGCATCTCTTGTTTGGCTGCATTTACAGGGGATAACAGAATATTACAGTGCCTTTTCACAGTTCCATTTTCTTTCACTTTAGCATTAGGCAATTTTTCAATTATTATTTTTTTCCATGTTCTTTCATCCCCGGCTCTCCATAATGTCTGGGCCTTTTAGTTAATGGTAGCGACAGTCAGAGCCCAGTATATCGGCCCTTGTCCATTTTGCAGGTCATTGTGGAAGCCCAATAGGCCTTTTATTACGCCGACATCAAAAGGCAGATAAGCATTAGAGGTGGGGAAAATACCCTGCACTAGATATGTTCCCTCTTTCCTTTGTCTGCTATTGAAAGTGATCATTTTAATAGTGAAGAGGTTGGTGAGCTTTGGGGCTGATGGGAAGTGCGACACCCCTGACAGCCTCCGAATATGAGCAAGTCGATAACACAACACTAGCGCACAGCACACCCTCAACACCTGCACACTCTTGCTGCTAACCTAATTATCTGCAACAAAGGCCACTGCGATTTCAGACACACATCTTTCCACCATTTACTTACTTATTACTGTGCATTAAAACAGGGAGAAAGAGAGAGAAAAAGGGAACAATTGTGTCTTATATTGCAGCCTTGGCCGAATGCCACATGGCTTGTTTTACAATAGCATGAGACACTTCACAACGAGTGTCTATTAATTTGGGATGTGTGAAAAAAATAGCTTCATGACAGCTGGTGGCAGAAAGGCACATAAACCAACACAAAGACATCAGAGAGGAATTATTCTAACAAATGATAGCCAAACATAATACTTGGTAATCAGCAATTAACTAATTAAATACAACTAAAGGTGAGTACTTCCATCTTTGTGGCAGTGCAGACACAATACTGGTTCTGCATTATATTCAAATCCAGACAGAAAGTAGAAAAACTATTCACTTCATATTGCAAGAGCAGCATGAGAGGCTATGAAATACACATAATACCTATGTGGCAAAGCTTGAAAAGAATATTTACTTCCATCAAGACTGCACAATCCTCAAAAAAATCTGCATCTAGATCCAAATCTGCATTGATATACGCATTTTTACAGATGATCCTGCTGACTGGCAGTCCATGGTTTCTTTGGCGAATACCTAAATCCTGTCTGATAATATTACGTCTTTGTAGGAGGATGAATTGTGCAAAATGTAATTATTGGCCATTTAAATTCTTCCATTTTCTCATCCAAAAGGCACAATTCAATAAATCAGTAATCGCAGGATTACTTCAAGTTGATATGAGCATATGACATCTTATTTTGTCGCAATAGCACTATGTGCTCATTATTTTATTTTTTTATTTTTAAACACGTGTGTAAACTGCAAGTCATAACTGCAATCTGGAAAGTAATTATTAGAAAATGATAAAGGTAAAAATTACTTTGGAGGCTTTACCTAAAAATACTATTGGGAATGTACCTATGAAACTTGTAGGAGCAGTGATGACTAACAATTCAAGAAGGTGGAGAATCACTTGGGCCTTATATAATGGACATATCCAACCAACAGATTCACCCTGAAACACGAAATACAATAAAAAACTACATTTACCTCCATGTCTTACAGAACCAGAACATAAAAGGCTTCATGCATGCAAACAAACAAACAGGCTTGAAAACATAGCTTTCTTGATGGAGGTACAAAATAAAACAGTCAACCTCAGCAAGCAGAAAAGCTCCAGAGAAAAACGAAATTATATGAAATCTTTGGCACAAACTCAAAGAAGGGAGTTCTATGTGGTCTAGACAACCTGCCTGCCAGGCGTTGTTCAGCAGTGGTGTGTCAGGAACAGGTACTGTCACTGCATATTTCCCTTTCAGCCACTTGAGGCAAGTGTCTGAGGGTATAGACGATACTGTATCCAAATTACAGTAGAAGAACAAAGTGTAAAGGAGTTGCTGACATTGAAAAAACGATGTCATTCAAAGTGCAATCTGCATCCTACACTTAAGATGAAATGTACGTATGTATGCACTGCTGCACAACCTTCAATAAGCAAAGATGAACAGATCAATAGTTACGAAAAAATATCTCACTTTTGACTGTAAATTGCCCACAAGTGTATGAGCCTCATTACTATTTCAAGCACAGGCAGGCCTGAATGTGTGCTGATAACACTACATGGTGAGGGCAGGACCCTTGGGGCTAAGGCTGGGGTGTCACACAAAGGGCTGAGAGCTCACCTAACGTTGTCTACCCCTGATCAGCCTCTCACTTTCTGTGTCGGGAGAGTGGTGTGAATGACATCACTTCTCGCATTTCAACAAGACAAACTCTGTCTTCTTATTTACCGTCTGCTAATAGTCATAAATCCTGCCTCTTGTTCACTGTTCACCTTTTAACCTCTTAAACTCAAGACGGCGGCTCACTCTCCTTCCAAAAATTAAACATCTTCTCATAAATAGCTGAGAGCCATCTCGCTGGTTTCTTTATCTTCTACCTGGATGTTTATGGCACGGAATCTTAACCAGTTTGATGCAATCACAATTCAGAAATCCCACATTACTTCTTCTAATTAGAAAATAAAACTTTCATCATGGACTTTGTGTTGTGGCTATACACTATACATCATCTAATTGTTCAAGTATAAATGTGATTATTTGTGATTAAAGGTCTGGCAGGTCTGAAAAACGTGAATAATCTGTGTAATTGGGTAGGGACGTGTCACCACCTGCATGCATTACCATTCACAAAGTTCAGATTTTTCCCCTGATAAAGTCAAAGAATCCCAGTGCACCCCACTGGGATTCTTTCGGCGGGGGCTGTTACCTGGAGCCATGGGTGCAGTGTTTCAGGTGAACTCTGAATGAGTGTAACGCCACACCAGCTTCAGACGACGGGCTCTTTGTTCCACGCCGTGTCTCACCAGACACATGGGGAGGAACCACTGAGTAACGCACCTCTGGCGCAACAAACATCTCTGTCGACGAGCCAAATGTGATGGAATTGGACCAAACATGGTCCGCTGTCATTTCGGCTCGATTTAACAAGGCAATTAGGTAAACACTGTGTGGTTTGGCTCACTGGATGAATAAATTAAACAACCTGCTGAGAGGGGTTTCAATCGCTGGATTGAAGTTCGCGATGCAATTCAGGACAGATTATTGTTTTTCTTTTTTCAATATGATTAGATCTAAAAACCACAATGTGTTTATTTATGAAATAAATATGAAATAATCAAAAACCATCCTAATTCCCCAACAATGTGAAAACAGACAGCAGAATTATATCTAACATTATTCTTAAATAATAGGCAAAAAGTAAGGTTTCATTGAATAGGTTTATCCAACAACAAAAAGCTTTTTAACAGATCAAAAAATTCAATATCTTTTATAGGGGAAATAAATTAACTGTGCAAAACTTTTGGCACTAGCACTAGGGAGAATTTTGTTAATTAATGTTTTGACAGTGGCAGCAGTGTTTCAAATAGATTATTGCTGAGACCACAGCAATTTGATTTGACTTAATTCTTTTAGTAGACCAATGTATTGAATTTGCATTTTTTTAATGTGACAAAAGTGTGAAAAATACACATAAGTTTCCAGAGCACTAGAGGACATCTTCAAATTGCTTGTTTTGTCCAACCAAGAGTTCAAACCTACATGTATTACATTTACAATGATATACGCCAGAGACAAGAAGGACATCTTCATATTTGAGAATCTGAAACCAATGAATGTTCAACATTTTCCCTTGATAAATGACTTGTGGACTTGTGTCAACACATTTGTTGAATAATTAAATTGACTAATCATTTCAGTGCAAGAGGAGAGTAAATCAGTCCAATAACTGCTTGTTTGAAGAATCATTACAATACTTCCTGCCTAAAAATACTAAACGCCATAACTGAACTCGTATGTGCTCCAGATGTGGACCATCCATTAAGATGCCTAAACTCTGGTTTGGTGACATTACAATCTACGTCAATAACTACATTTGTTTAAAGTCATGAACGCAAAAGACAGCTGGTTAAGTTCTGAATAGCTA